CTAATTGGGTGTGCCAATCCAGTATCAATTTTGTGTTGAATTAAGCTGGTTCGGCCGGTTTGATTGTCCATCACAAATACGTCTGCTTCTTTCAAAATGAAATCTGTGGCTTCTTGAAGTCTATCTGGATCGAGATGTTTCCATGATTTCGCCAAGGTCTGCATCAAGGTGTCTGTATCTAATTTGGATTTCACAAAATGTCGCTTATCTGGTAGGTCACAGTTCGATATTTGCTTCACTGGTTCGAGAGCTCCAATAATGTCTCCTTCTTTTATTCTTACTGTTTCGGAAGAAACATTGGCAATTCTTATCATAATGTCTCCATTTGTTCTTACTAGGGTCTTTCCAACAAGAAATCTTTCTGGTTTATCTCCAATGAAATTACGTGTTAGCCCAACGCAACACCCAGGGTTTGTTTCTAATTTTCCGCAAATGATCTTCTCAGTACTTCCAGGAATCCTCACTGGGGTTGTGGCCAGGATCTCAACGGCATCGGATTCTTCTTGTGTTGTTAGGACAATTTCTTCATTACCAAATTTAAGGATCAAAAGAGAAACCATGTTGGCCGATCAAATCCATTCCCAAAATAAAATCATCTTCTATATCGGCGACTAATGTTTTGTGCCTGAAGGTGGTAGATCCAAAAGTGAGCTCAACCATAGCTTCTCCTTGAACTGCTGCAGATTCGCCGGTGACTGTTCGTAGTGACAGGTTTCTAGTGAGCGGTTGGATTGCCCGAGACTTGACTAATGTTCTTTTAATTATGGAAACTTCAGCACCCGTATCAAAAGTAATGGTTTTCAATTCTCCATTAATTTGTCCTTCGAATTTTAATCCTCTATAATGACTGCCCAATGATTTTATGTAAACAACCCTGGGGGCTTCGTCATTACTAACCAGCATTCGCCCCTCCATACTGGTTAGTTCTCGTTTCCCTGTCTGTTATTAGGGCAGGCGTCTCTCGATCTCGAAAAGCGTTGGAAACGATCCCTTGATGGAGAGGACATCCTCACTCTACAATCTCGTTGAATATGCCCAAGTTTATGACACCGGTAGCACTCTATTCGGTTTCTCGGGGTTGGTGTTTGTCTGGAATCGTTTCCCATTTTTCTATCTTCTAGTAACAGTTTCTCCATTCTCTCCATGAAATTACTCATTTTAGTTTCGAAGCTACCATCCTCTTTTGACAACTGTTTATCTTTTGGGTCTTCAATGGACACTGCTCGTATTCTGGGACGTGAGGCACCAAAGATTGCTTCCAGTTCTAATGCTCGGACAAGGGCTTCGCTACTTTGTCTGAACTTGGACATTCTTAGGTTTTCCTGGATCTTCGAATCTCTGAGACCATCAATAAACGCAGATACTGCCATCCATTCCTGCATGTCTTCCCCAGCTGCAGGAAACGCCAAACTCACTAGCCTTTTAACTTCCGATTCGAATTCTTGTAGACTCTCGTCGGGTTTTTGAACTCTTGATTTAACTTGAGTTCTGAATACTTCTTGTCTGTAATGGTCTCCGAAGCGCAGTTCTAAAGTTTGACTAAGATGCTGGTAATTCTGTTGGTAGAGTGAAGGAATGGACTGAAGAAGATCTAAGGCTGGTCCTCGTAGCGCCACTATCAGTGCTGTAGCTTTTTCTTGATCGTTCCATCCGTTGGTATTTGCAGCAGCTTCAAATTGTCGAATATACATCGTCCAGGACGTAGAGCCGTCGAAAGTTGGTGGTTTTATCTTCATACTGGAGAATGCTCCAACACTAGCTGAATTGATGGACTGTATTTCTAATCTACGCATCTTTTCTTCGAGTGCTTGAACTTGGTCCTCAACTTCTTGTCTTAATTGCTGAACATCGGTTTTGACTTCAGCTTTTACTTCTTGAACGTCGTGTTTAACTTCTTGCACATCGTCTTTAACTTGTTCAATCTTCTGGTCTAGGTTAGCGACAGTTCCCTGTATGGTTTGGAATATTTTCTGTAGTCTTCCAAGGTCCTCCTGCCGTTCTTGTTGTCGCTTAGCTTCTTCTTGTTGTCGCCTAGCTTCTTCTTGTTGTCGCCTAGCTTCTTCTTCTTGTTTTTCTTGTTGTCGTCTGGCTTCTTCGTCTTGTTTTTCTTGTTGTCTTCTAGCCTCTTCTTGTTGTCGTCTAGCTTCTTCGTCTTGTTTTTCTTGTAGTCGTCTGGCTTCTTCGTCTTGTTTTTCTTGTAGTCGTCTGGTTTCTTCGTCCTGTTTTTCTTGTTGTCTTCTAGCTTCTTCGTCTTGTTTTTCTTGTTGTCGTCTGGCTTCTTCGTCTTGTTTTTCTTGTAGTCGTCTAGCTTCTTCGTCTTGTTTTTCTTGTTGTCGTTTGGTCTCTTGAAGTTCCAACATTTTGCGCAGAAGTTCTTCAACTTTTTGTTCGTCCATTTTGGCTTGTTGTCTTGTGATAGGCATATACAGAATGTTCTAGAATTTCCCTCGAACTTTCTTCATATATCTTTTCTGGTCTTTGCTCGAAGTTCCAAACACGCCGGTGAAGTCACAAATTGGATAACTTGCTTTATTCTAGAATAGAATGTTCTGGAATTTTCTTGAAACTTCTTTTCTAGATGTCGATTGATACAGCAAATACGTCGGTGAAGTCACAATTTCGATATCTCCTTTGGTTTCCAAATAGAATGTTCTAGAATTTTCACGAAACTCATCGAAAAACCTCTTCTGAATGACGATTGATGTTCCGAATACGTCGGCGAAGTCACAAATTCGATATCTCCCTTAGTTTCCAAATAGAATTTTCTAGAACTCACTCGAAGATTCACTATCACAGTCTAAATCGGGTATAGAGTCACTTCCGGGGTAATTCACACGATCGGTTAAGTCTCTTTTGTGATTGTCACTATTTGCACTGCACTAACTGTCCCAGTGTTCACGTAGTGTTCAGTTTTTATACTACACTAGTGTCCCCGCACTTCCGTAATTGGATTTCACTCTGCAGTCCTTTATATCCCACTCCTGACACCACTGTCGCGACTTTGGGTTGCCTGCTGACAAAAATCTTCGGTTCGTTGTTCGTTTCGTTTATTCCAAAAATCAAAGTCCAATTAACACAGCAATAATTTATTCCACTTAACAAAACACTCTGACACTAATTACTTTATTAACAAACTCAACAATTAAACTCTTTACAATCACTATTTAAATCGTATCACACTCGAACTGAAACTAACTTACAAACCAATGCCGGCCTTCTTATATATCCCTAAATCTATTCCTGTGAAATCTAGAATACACACGATAATCTAATTTTCCAGATTAAAGTAGAATAATTCGCTAGATTCTAGTATTTCCGCGATCGATTCTTGACAGCCTGGCGGACGTTTAGCTTATTGTGACAGTATATTATCTCACTTATGCAACGTTTCACATAACCTGTCTCCTTGCCAAGAATTTTTATATCATTAAAATTAAAAGTATGGTTTGTAAGAAAATGGTTTCTGCCAAAGCAGTTTTTTCAGCCTTCGTATTTCTCTTGGCAGTCATATTGGTGTTGTTTAAGTCTATTGCCCAATTTTTGTTTTGTTTGACCTATTTACTGTTTAGCGCAAGTACACGGTACTGAGTAAATAACATTAGAATGGTCGAAAATTGGTGTTTTGTCTTTGAGTCTAGATAACAATGTTGATACTATTTTTATGTTATAGAATGCCAATGCGAATTCATCACTCTGAAACAATTTTTTAAGCTTATGGGATAAGTCGGGGACAAACGGCAGTTTTAAAAACGTTTTTTCCCAGTTAGGTGGTCTTGTGTTGGGATGTGAATCAGTTGAAAGGCTATGGCGTTTCCGAAGAAAGCTATTGATGGACTGGTTGATGAAGAACTTAGAGTAATTGTTTTGATGTAAGAGGGACGACATAATTTTCAAATTTTCAGACTGGAAAAAATCGTGACTAAGTTCAATGGCTCTATGGCAAAGGTTGTGGATAGTATTAAGCTTGTGTTGGGAGGGTTATTAGATTTAAAATTCAACAATCTCTCTGAACTTGTTGCTTTCCTATACCAGTCTGTCTTCAATGATCCATCACATTCCCTGTGTAGCATAACGTCTAAAAAGGGTATCCTATTATCTGATGCGACCTCGATATAGTCTCTTTATTCACAAACATTCCTAAAGATCAAGTTATAGAAATAATTGAAAAGAGATGGCATTTTATTGAAGAAAACACTAGCTTTGAAAATCTAGTTAACTACAAAACAATTCATATATTTGCAGATGCACCACATATCTTGAAGCCTCTGAGAAATCATTTTCTTGACCATGGTTATCTCATTAATGGAAGAATAATTAATTCCAAACCAATTGTTGACTTATTACAGACTACTCAAAATTTAGATTTAAATATCGCTCATAAACTTAGTGTAGATTTATTAACTGTTAAAGGCAGAGAACCATTATTTAACCATTTCATGATTCCAACTTCACCGAACGTTCAAAATCATATTGTAGGTGATCAGCGGCAAAAATTAAAATATGCTGCTAAGTTATTTTCCCATACAATTTCAAAAATGGGTATGCTTGGATCTCATACTGCAGAAAACAACAGGTTAGAGTGTTCTGATTTTTGAAATTTGTGAAAAAATTGCCAAATTCCCCATCCAGATTCAAGAAACCGGATTAAAGGTTCATGCTAATGTGCTTACTTTTGCCTAATAAAAAATACTCATTGTTTCAGGGCATGGTTTGGCCTTACTAGAACAAAACGAAATTCTGGGAAAAATGAAAAATATGATGAAAGAAATGAGGAAGTAACGCTGTGTTACCATTTTAAAAGGGAATGATTATTACCATTGAATCTTTAAAGAAACTTTTTATTGACTTAGAACAGGATTTTGACATAAAATATTTATCTTAACTTAATCAGGATCCTCTCGAAGGGCTATTTTCGATTATAACAGCCATAGAAGGTTTGCATGCCCACCCTAGTGCACTTCAATTCAAATATTGTCTGCGTAACTATTTAATGGGCCGAAATGATGAAATTATATCAGATTCTGCAAACGTACGAAATCAAATTGACACAGGTAACCAACCAAGCACTAGCGCAACTATTTGGAATGAGCCTAGCAATTCAAATTTTCAGGCTGGTTTCGGAAATTTTTTATTTGTTTTATTTTTTGTTTGTTTTAATTTTTAGGTTGTTACGGAAGAACTGTTCAGCTTATTAAATTTGCCAAATGATGAAGCAATAGAAATATGTGATGAAAATAAATCGGAAAATCCAAATTTAGAAGACCTAAGCTGGGATGCTTTGGAAAATTTGGTTGGTTTTATTGCATTCAAACCACGAAAAAAAGAAAAGCTTAGCTATATTCCAGACTGTAACGAGCCTTCATTTTCTTGGATTATTCATTTAAGTGAAAGTGGGTTACAAAAGCCTTAGAAGATTTTCTAACAAAATATAACGAGCTGGACTATATTTTTAACAATTACAATGGGAACTCCCTGAAAACCGAAAAAAAATATCTTCAAAACTTAAACAATTTAGTAAAAAACGTTGATTTAATTGATAAGGCAAAAAACCTCTTTTTTTGGTGTAAAATCTATTTTAAGATAGGAATTCTCAATAAGAATATTGAAGAAACCTCAAACATAGGAAAACGTAAGATGGTAAAGATAATCAAATAAATATCAAAATCTTAAATTTGAATTTTTTTGAAAATTAATGGTACGTATTGTAACGCTCAAAATTTGCGCTACATTATTTCACGTATTTACTGCATTTTTGCCTGGACTATTAATATTATTCTTATTTTAATATGATTTCTAGCTCCCTCTCGTATTTCTACCGCAAACCTTCATTTATTAACGAGTACCTACAGAAATCTATATTTCTTTTCAAATTGTCGTTTCCTGCTTCCGTAGTGCACAAAATAATTGGTGACAGCAATTTATCAATGTTTATCTATATCGAGATTCTGTACCGATTCGATATTCGATCGATTGTGATCGATATTGATCGATTTATTTTGCTTATAGAATCCTAATTTAAATCAATGCGGATGGTATTGTTTTATATTATTATTTTATTGATTGTTGTTGATAGCATTGAGGTTTATGTCGTCCACCAGTTGTGTGGTTTAAATATACTCATCACTACTTTACCTAACTTCAGACAGCTCCTCTCTAATGTGATTTATTGACAGTTCATTGGGTTCAACCATTTCGATTTATTGAAGGTGACATTTGATTTTGGCACTTTCCTTCGAGTCGCTTTCGAGATTGGTTCAGAGTGATTTAAGTTTTGCATTTTTATTGAATTTTGCAACATTTTATGGGATTTTCGCCCTGATACCTAAATAATAATAATCGTGGTGTTTATCTGCATAGTTTTAGTGCGTCTCGTTACCTTTTGGTGCCGCGATTACTCTGATAATTCAGGATTTTATTTCTTGATCGACCGGTAAGTTGAATCACGCCATGTGTGGCAATTTGATCCCTAATCGGATTTTTATCCATCTAATATAGAGAGAATTCTTTGGCTAGTTCCAGTGTTACCTTGTGGCATTCTTTTATGCTGATTTTGCTTATTTAGCTGATCTCTAGTTTCTGCATTTTCTTGTGGTTGTTCTCTTTGTGTCATCCGACCATCACCTGGACAAACTAAAACCCTGCTATTACAGGTAATTACATATTATTCATTGACCTCATGCCTCAATGAAAGACAGTAGATCGGGAATAATTCAAGTATAGAAAAATGTGCTTTCCTGGATTTATTGACTCTCAAAGTTTTAATTTTTAATTTTTTGAAATGGGTATTTATAATAATGTTTCTTCCTCAGGGCTTCTTTTTTATCTGGGCTTTTCATTCAATTGTCGTAACTGTCCATTACATCAGCCGTCCACCTACCGTCTACCTGTAAATTGGGGACTTGCTGGATTTAGAGTAATCCACTCCTGGAGCTCTATTGTGAAACTCTTCTGCTCCTTCTGGTTCAGCTTAGAGCAACAAAGATTGCAAGCCAAGGCTTTGGAGGCTAAGCAATTGCAACTGGACGGCTGGTAATTTCAAGTGTCATAAATTAGCGTACTTAGTTATAAAAAATAAAAAAATAGTATTTTTCTACAAACGTCACTAAAAGTGTCATTTTTAACGGATGCTGTCAGTGTCTAAAATGCCATTTTATGACACTGGTGTTAAAAGTGATTACTTTTAGCACTGAGTGCTAAAAGTAATCACTTTTAGTGCGTTTGTAGAAAAAATACTGTATGATATTCGTGCTAAAAGTGATTTTATTTTGTTCAAAGGGATAGAACACTCCGCCTTCGGCGTCGTGTCCCAAACGTCCCTTTTCACAAAATAAAATGTCACTTTTAGCACTTATATCATAAATAACTATTCTCTCATTTACTTTTTCTTAATTTCAATTTCAAGAATTTAACCTTAGTATTGTTTTTTTATTGTGTTTATACAGTAATGTATAATTATTATTAAACATTTATTTTTCCATTTTTTCATATACATGTTTGGTAGGTTTATGGTTTACGAGCCTTGTAAACTTACGTGATCACGTGGGGTATATTATAGTAACCTAGGTACTTGAGTATGTACCGTTAAGTATAACTCTATAAATAATCCTATTGAATTTATTATGAAAGAATTATTAACTAATTTTAAGTGATTTCTTTGTCGGGTGATTATTCTTGTTGACACTGTGGTGAACCTATACAGTAACAGTACTGCTAAAAGGGTAGAAGGTAATTGTATTGTGGTTTTATTTATAGATAATTTTAGTGACTTAACTGCTTCTGATTTGAAATCATTCTTGATCTAGTAATTCTTTTGGAAGTTTGAATTCACTGTTTTATACCTACATACCTACCTACTGAAATAAAACTTGTATTTGAGAGAAAACAATTCAGTACATATTTATTTGGCTTCATGTGCTTTCTCTATCCTTGATCTTGGAAAGTAAGTAAATGCGAGGATTATTATAGATTTTCTTTTATTTTTTTTTCTTAATTCATACTAACTATTGCATTTAATTATTGTTTATTGGTGTTCTGGGAGAACCAGACAACAGCCTGGAGAATTCTAGCACATTCTATCCCTTTTGCTAGTAGCGCCCATAACTACCCGCCCCAGTCTCCGGTTAATGATAATTAATTTTTATTCTGAGCTAGGCATAAATGTGGCACGCACTAGACTCTCCTGGGCCCAATTACTTTATTATTATTTTTTTTTAAATTATTTTTATTTTTTTATTTGAAACTTCAATTTCTGTTTATAAACAGTAAAAAGCGTGAAACAGCAAGGATTTTACAAGCTGCAGCAAAGCTAGTTGATCTACATAAACATAATCCATCAGGGCCATCATGTTCCACCAGTAATGTTTCATCTTCAAGCTCACCTGATCCAGACAATACTATAACTTCACCTCCAGACAATACTATAACTTCACCTTTCCATGCTGCACCTGAACACTCAACCGATAATCCTGTTATTCACCTTCACCTCAAAATCAAACGGATGACCCTCAGAATAGTGTGAACCAACCACTTTCAACAAAATATTTAACAGATTTACTTTCATCAGGTGCTGAAAGCAAACCATTTGCTGATTCCGAATCTTCTTACCAGCCTTCAGATAATCAAGAAAGGGATGACGATAATCCTGCTGACGAAAGTGATCACGATAATCCTGCTGGAAAGCGATGAGCAATCTAGTGATGACGATAATCAACTTGCTGCAACCACAGTAAATCCTGCAACCGCAACTAATCCTACAACAACCAATGATACCTGGGGGCCTTGCAGACAAGTCACCCATGATTTCCCGTTCACTGCGCGAAGTGGATTTCAACTGAATCCAAACGATTTTTGCGACCCTTATAAAATATATCGCCAATTTATCGACGACGAAGTGCTTGAGCTCATAGTGAGAGAAACAAACAAATTTGCAGATCAGTACATTAGAAGTCAGAATCTTCCTCACAGATCAGAAGTACGTAAATGGACTGACACCAACAAAAAAGGAATTTGCAATTTTATTGGAACTTTCCTATGGGAATAAATCACCTGCCTAAAATGCGCTTATATTGGACAAAAAGTCCAATGTACAGAAATTGACTTATTTGCAAAAACATAAAACGTTACAGGTTTGACCTATTGCTCAAATTCATTCATTTCTCCGACAACGAGCAAAATATAGGAATTAATTAATTAATTAATTATTCTTTGTAGCTTAATCTGGCAGCTTGCAATATCCACCCCTTTGTTTTATTTCTGAGCTAATTTGCCCCTGATGATGAGATTCTAATAATCTCGAAACATGTTGGGCTCATATCAATTTAATTTATGAAAGTATTTGTGGAGAAAAACTTCGAGTTTTTTTTAGGGAATTAGCACCTCCACTTTGAGAAATGGACTACTTCTTCAATTTAAAATAAAGGAAACCCAGATAGATTGGCTAAGGTAAAAAAGGTGTTGGATGATGCTCAGCTCGGCACATAGTACCTTTAATTAGTGTTGTATTGTGCAGTTATGCTTGAAGTTTGATGGGTGTAAGTCCTGAGAAAATCCTATAAAAGTTGGACTTGTGGTTTTGTTACGGATCCCTTTTTCCTCGAGTCATTTTTCCAGATAACCAATTAAAAGCACGAGGCCTTACCTCATATTTACGATATATCTGCTTAGCTTGATGTTCGAAATGAATTCAAGGAACTAGGTACCTGTTTGTTTGTCTTGAAACCTGAAATGAAATAACACATTGTCTCTTTTTAGCTGACACCAGGGCCAGCTGTTGATGAACCAATAACAACGAACGGACTGTATACGTTCCGTTTACTATTTTAGGTACCCGAGTTGTTCGCTTCGTTTCGGTTGGTTTTTGTGCAGATTAACCTTTCCTGTTTTGGTTCCGTCCATCGAGGCCTATTTCCTGGAGGGCAAAAACAGGTGGCGCTTTTAGTTTTCACCCAGACCACTCTACCTTTACTCTGGCTAGTCGGTGCAGCCCAATAAATAGGTCCTTTTTATACAGCCAACTCTGTTGTTTTTCCCCCTTTTTTTTTTGTAACAATTTAAAATTGTTACAATTTGGCTCCCAACGTAGGGCTTTCTTCCAGCAATATACTTGATATCGTTTTTCAAGTAACAACAGTTCTGAAAATAAAAATCTTTGAGAAAATCAATTCAACTTTCCTTTAAATAAAAGTCAAAATGTCTGCGCAGCCAACAAAAAGACTTATTGACCCGGATGACAAGACAGAAGTTCCATCCTCGAAAAAGCCAAGATTCGACCAAAAACCAACAATCAGAGACCACCCTGCTAAAAAAACCGCATAAAGCCTTAATAAAAAATTATACAATTTTTATGAGACTTTATGAGTTTGAAGAGCTTTTATGAATACATTAAAATAACTCATAAACTCTCATGAGTTTTTATAGTGCAAATGGTATTGCCATATTTATGTTTCATGGGAGTTTATAATTCTTTATAAGGATAAGGTATATATAAGATTTGGAGAGTAAATTAAGAACACAAATTTATCGGTTTACATAAGTTTTTATCAGCATATTTCGTAGAACAGTTTTATGAGATTCTATGGGGAAATTCGGGATAAATGTTCAATTATGCCCAAGATTTTATGGGTCTATATAAGATTTTATTATGCTGCATTTTATAAGTTTCTAAAGGTTAATTTTCATAAATGGTTATAATATTTCCAAATAATTTTATGAGATTCTATAAGGAAAAATAATCACATGAGAGTTAAGGCCGAATCCCACTAGCAACACGCCACGCCACCCCACGCCATGTGACACAGGTGCACGTGGGACAGTTTGTGTGCAAATGGATGGATGGCGTGGCGTGCCATGACGTGGTATCGCGTGTGGCAAGTGTGTACGCAGCACATATAAATAAATGGAAGAATATACGCATACATTTTCGTCACATGGCGTGGCGTGGCGAAGCATGACGTGGCGTGTTGCTAGTGGGTTTCGGCCTTTACAGGTTTTTATGAGATTTTATCGCAGTACATTTTATAAGTTTCTATAAGTACCTTTCTATGCATATATGTACCCGCGAAAATAATTCTCAATAATGTATATATACGCAGGGTGTCTGTTCTTCAAGGTCAACCATTGGGATCTCGGAAACTTTATCAATCTAAACACGGCCCTGCATTTTTGAATACTTTTTTCAGAGAGGCAAAAGACTTACGGCTAAAATACTGTATTTAAGAGAGATTATGGGTTGATTTAATTACTTGAATCCGATATTTGGAAAATTGTGATGTATCGATATAGGTATGATAGGTCAATGCTCTAAGGAACTGAAAAGGCTCTAAAAAAAGTATGCAAAATTGCAAGGCCCTATTTAAATGAATGAAGTTGATGATAGGCGCCATTTGTTTCAAAAAATCTCTTCAAATAAGTCCAGAAAAAAATAAACACGCTTTTGTGAAATTTCGGTTTTTCCCAAATGTCTCCGAAAGTGTTCGGAGTTTATCAAATTGCAAAGCGGCGTTCCATTGAGCATCAAATAACGCAACTTTGTCCTAATTTTATACCGACTTCGTATCTCATAACGTTTCCGATATCCCAATGGTTAATTGACCTCGAAAAACCGACATCCTGATAAACTAAGTAAACTGAATTGAAAATTGAGAATACCAAAACTTTCTCATTTTACTGAATTTCTAGAAAGTTTGGAAACTCGCAAATATACTTATGTTCAATAGTATCAATAAAAATACACTTACAATTAATTCCTGAAATTGGAATAGTAAAGTCTCCTGGTTGAAAACCCTTAACAAAATGACATCCCTCAATGAGTACATTGTTGACGCAAAATGGTTCGCAGATAAGTTTCTTAACTCTCACATAGTTTCTGTGATTTTCTTGAGAAATAATTTCTATAATCTGAGCATAAAAACCATCTTTTAACTTAATGAATGAGTTGTCAGACTTATTTTTAGAGTATGTTTTTGTTTGATACATCGTAGCACCAATTACAATTTTTTTTATAACTTCCAACTAGAACATTATTGAATTCAGTCTCATAGCAACTACCTAACAATTTATTATTATCATTGCCTTCCAAGCGATATTCTTTTACATGTTTTGAAATCTGTTCATGAAATTTCTTACAAGACTCTGACCTATTTGCATCACTGATTAAAAGTGTTTCCAATTTTGCTAATTTTAATGATTTATAAACAATTTGCCATTTAACTCCTGTTGGACCAGTAACAAAATTCTTTAAATTTAAAATATTGGATTCAAATGGAAATGTTGACATTGCCCACAAGGGACCACAGTAAGTAACACATTCTACTAAATGTGTAAGTAGATGAACATTGAATGTCATAGCTGATGGGCCATAAAAAGTTTCAAAATCTTTAACAAACTGCTTAAGATATTTATCACATTGAGAAAGATCATATTGTTCAATATTAGTTTGTAACAAAATGAAAATGCTTTTCTGCAGTAAAGCAAAATGTTGCAAATATCGGTTATGTAATATACCATTTAGACAAGGTAGGGAAGAAAATAACAGCCATGATCGATATTCAGAAGCTTTCCATTTAGCTCTTTCGAACAATGACCTTGGTTTACGATGAATCTCTGATGGTGGAGAAATGTTTAACAGTTTTTCATTTATTAATTTTAGAGTACTAGGAGAGCCAATGTAAAAATTATTATTGTTTTCACTATAATTGTAGGTAGTCCAAATTTCGAAAACTTGTTTCACAACACCAAGCAGTGCGTTGTGCATATAATCAATGGGCGCTCCCCATACAACGTTGAAATCAGGAATTGTAATGACAGCTGAGATTCCTTTGTATCCCTTAATTCTCCTACTAGTGACTAGAGCAGTTTTCATATTCTCAATAGCACTTGTATGATTCCTTAGAGGATAATCTTGATCTGGGGGGTATTTTACAACTTTATTGATTGATAACTTTTCCGGGGTGTTTACAATATGAACAACCATAAAATCCGTTAAATTGTGTGCTATTTAAAATCATTGGTCTAGCAACTGAATCTACACAACAACAAAGTGCAGTAACTTTTGTATTTATCAAATTTCCATTGAAATTCTAGCTTACTCCATCTACAGCAAGTTTTTCAATATTTTTTGCAAATGCATCTAACAATAAATTCATATTTGGTTCAACTCGATCATACCAAATACCAACCAGAATTACATTTCTAAACCTTATTGAGGGAGGTAACTCATTAATTAGAATTTGGATGGGCCACATAGCACGTTTTGAAGAATTAAATACAGGAGCACCATCAGTGTTCCGATTAAAAGTTAAATCATAGTTTTTTATTATTTGCTGATATAATTTGCTATCATAAATATCCCTAATTCCACTCTCAGTTCTGGCAGTTTTTGTTTTTAAATTTCTCTGAATGTAGGGGTTTTCCAAAAAAATTTTAAATATGTATTCTAGATCAATGGTTATCAAATAATTATCGTTTTGCAATGAAATTTTGTTTTGACAGTTGCAAGATTCACAAAGAAATGAATCTTGCTTCTTGAAACTTTTCCCTTTGATAGACATTAAACTGTTTCTGCATTGTTTGCAGTAAAAAGTATATTGTGCTACCTGCTCAGGTATTGAAAATTGTTTATTGATAGAGTAATTGCTAATTGGGATTTTTCTACCAGCCAAAACTTCAACAAAGCTAATAATATCTTTAATAGCTTGAGAAGAAAAATAATGTCTTAGAGAAAGTGATGTCAGCAAGACTTGTACATCTAGTCCAGATAACCGAGATTCGGAAAAAATGATTTCATCTACTGGGTTACGAGCAGTACCAGCACCGACCTTCCTATTTCCATGAATGTCTTGGACATCATCATCATCATCATCGTCATGTAAATCATCCAAGGTATCATCCATTAAATTACTTTGTTCATCACTGTCACTTGTATCAGTTGTCATATCAGCCTCGATATCATCAGCCTCGATATCATCAGCCTCGATATCATCAGCCTCAATATCATCAGCCTCGATATCATCAGCCAACATTTCAAAGTCAGTTGTCTCCACTGTGTTTTCTAACACACTATTTCGAACTACAGAGCTCATCCCTTCGCTTTCAAGGTCTTCTTCCTGACGTGATGCAATTGAGCTCAAATGTTTTTTCCATCTCCACCTGGTGCTTCTGCTTGTCTGAGAAGAATCAAAATCAGGATCTAGGTATTTAAATGAAGGTCCACCTGAATACGGAGAGCTCATTTTGATGGGCTTACTGGAGGGTCACTTCGTCAAACAACGAAACAACTTGAATCAAAAAAGAAACTTACATCAAGCAGTTTCTGGTAGTTGTATATAAGTCTGCAAATATTTAAGGAAAAATGGATCAAGGGAAGCCTAATACCTCTTCTGAAAAATAACTTTCAAAGTTATCAAAAGTTAAAAGTAATTTCAGATCAAAAACTTCATTTCCATAGTTCCAGTTACCAAGTGTAAGTAGGGGGATAAAAAGGGTAATTAAGCCTCGGTAAGAACCGTAAAGAATGCCTAGACGCGGCCCTGGTAGTACTGGTATAATAGCATAAAAAATTACGTTTAAATTTACATACCTCAGATAGCTATGAAAAGTTGTGCCCGAATCTTCAAAATATTGAAAAATAGGAACCAAATAATTCAATTTCAGCCAAAATCCAAAACAAAACTAATTACTAATTATTTATTCCTATCCGGCGGGATAAAAACAAAAACAAAAATAGTTAGGTTAGGTCATTACATTTATGGTGTATTCGATTCGAAGCTTTAATGCACACAGTATAGTTCCACCTCTTGCTCTCAGCCTGTTGAAGAAAAAGATAGAGAATTTTGATATTCTGCAAAAATATTGAGGTATTAAAAAATTAAAATATGATACTTTTCCGTAACTATCTGTGTTATTTGACAACAATTTATTTACAACCACCTAATTAAACAAATAAACAAGAAAGCAAAAAATACCGACATCTGTTGATCGTCCGTGGGTGCGACATCCATGATCAGCTGTCGGAAGTCGAAGCTCGGTGAGCAAACAAATCATCCATTCATTGGTTTTTCGTTCAGCTTGAGGCGTTTATTTTTGATTTTGTTATCAAAATATCGTGCTTTGTGCGATAAAATTTGCAATAATTATTATACTCTATCCTTTAATCATACTTCAGAAGTTTTTTAACGCTTATTTTTTAACGCCATCTAGTGACGCTAGACGATCGCGAATAGGTTCGTTTTAGAGCCATCACGTGACTGTTGCATTGATAAAGTGAACCATTTCGCTAAAAATCCGACCTTCAATTCAAACACATACATAAAGTGGAACAAAATATTGTCTTATTTGTGATGCATTATTAGTACAGCATTCCGTTACGTTTGTTTTTTGAGGAACATTTAAAAATGATATGGCAACGTCGCGTGAACCTTGTTGGTGGGCTTGTATACGTCATACCGGTCTGACTTGTCAACGTCGCCCGTCGGTTGTTTCGCGTCTCGCGCTCGTGTTTCTCCGGTTTCTCTGTCAGCTCCTCTAGTCCTCTGTCTGTGTAACGTTATCCTTTGCCGGGTTTGCCCTTTGTTTTTACAGTTTTATCGCTTCTGCTTTGTGCTCCTCAATCAGCTTAATATGTTTGGCATTATTAAGTTCACAGATGAAGAAAAATCACGAATTGTGGCCACAGGATATAAAACATTTTGATTTGGCTCAAATCAATAAAAAAAAGTTTTTGGTGAAGTACGAAGATGGCATGTATTATCCGGCCCAAGTTGTGGTTGTCAAAGGTGAGATTGCGATTTCTTTTTAATTCTAGATATTGTTTTGTTTTTTTCCTACATATTAAAAATATTTCTGTTGGCCTAGTTTGGGGACCCAAAAGGGGTTCTTCCAACATAGTGCGGGTAGTGGGTGGATATTTGCAAATGGCTGCCATGAGTGCAAGGTTCGCATGAGGCTTAAAAAAGTGTTTAAATTTCTGATCCACGATTATCCAAATTTCTGCTGGATATTTTGTTGCCTTAGAAATAGCCACATAAAGATAAGACCCTCTAGAAAGGATTATTATAATTATTAACTAAGAGGGCACTAATGACATTGTAATCTGTCATATTTTTTCAATTTTTCAAAATTCGTCTGCAGAGAGAGAAAAAAAACACTGACTCTTATTTACATTAGCATTAAGAATTAGTAGTTAACCTAACAAGTGTGGAAAGAGCCACTTTTCCGCACGCGATTGACGCGCAGCGGAGTTTGGCCAGCAATCATGTCACTTTGAAATAAAATTATTATTGCAATATAAAATACATACTTTGCACCATTCTATAATTCATCCTTTACCAGCCCATCATTGATTTTGATAAATTACTTTAGTGGTAATTCGAAAAGAAGTTTCACTACTCAGGCTTCTTAAAGTAGGTAATTTTGTCCCCAATCCCTATCCAACAAGGACCAGAAAAAATTCAAAATCAAGAAAATAGTAAAAAACACACGTTGCAGAAGGCTATTTCTCGCACTCATTTGTTCGGTCACGAGCGACAATGGAGCGAGTTCTCAAATTTCGAATTCGTGCGGGAATATGTGGCTTTCTGTAACTTGTATTTCAATATACTATTTCCGCATTAGGGCGGATAAGTGACATTTTTAAAACTAAAATGCGTGCGGAAAAGTGGGTGATCCACCTTTGAGAAACATTTGGTAGTCAGTAGCTATTCAGATTAGATGAAAGCTTTGGTTTAGTATAGTTCCGATATCTTATCGCAAACAAAAAAAAATTATGTTATTTCAGATTCAATTGAAGAACTTGAAGAATTTAAGGCAAGAAAAAGATTGAACTTTGTGAATAGAGACTTGTTGCAAAGTGCCTCGGAATCAGAAAGTGAATTCGAGTCAGTATTGGCTCGGTCGAATGCTAGGACTACCTCATCCGAGCCTAGCCGGTTTGCTATGCGAAAGAAGATATCAATAAGGGTATAACATGATATTTCTTTTTTTTATTTATCTATATAAAATGCAATTCGCTCCGATTTTGTAACTCAAATCGGAATCTAGAATAATTATTGAAAATTCGAGAAATAGAAAACACATCTAGTTGGTCAGTGCGTAACTTGGCATTCTTGGGAATAATTTTTTTCAACCTCTAGAAGCACTTTTTTAGTTCAAATTGTGAAAGGCTTTCGCGGCCATCGTTCAATAATGAGTGGGTTTTCGGGCTGTTCAGCCGTCGTCTTTGCGGAGATTGGTTGGTTTCATCACTTTTTTAGTTGTTGAAGTTTTTGCTAGTTTGCAAATCACTACCTTGTATACAGGGTGATTTACATAGCCTTTGCATTGATTTGCAGGAGGATTAGATGCTAACTCTAGATACTAATCCACCCGCAATCTGAAAAACTTTTAATGCAAGGGCTACGTGAATCAGGGTGTATACCAATGTATGTAAGTCGTCGATGAATTTAATTTTAGGAAAATACGAAAAAAACCGTACATAAAGATAAAAAGATGCAAGAATATTTTCTATCTAAATACCAAGAACTTAAATCTGGAGGCGAAGCAAAAATCGATCCTAGCCCGAGGGATGCAAATCCAAATCCCATTAAAGATTTTGCTAATGAAACAAATAATAGTAAAAATTCTATTGAACACCTTAAGGAACTAAACAAAAAACTTTCGAGGCAGGTTGAAGACCTAAAGTTAGAAAATAAGGAGATTTTGAAACTAAATATTGAACTGAAAAAGACAGTCACTGGTAAGTATTCTGCATTTTTTGGACTCGTTTCGTGTAGCTGTTGTCAAAATCAAAGTTACAATAGAAATTAGTTAATATTTGAAAAGGGCTTTGGCCGTTTTTAACGAACTTTTTAGGTTTGATTGATAAGAATAAGCTCTGCTTTTTTCTTAAACCTTTTTTTTTTGTTGCACTTGACAAATGTTGGTATATTTTTCCAATGGAAAATTGATAATTAAGAATCCGCCTAGCTACAAGTATGAACAATTATTGAATTTAATTTGTAATTTTAATTCAACTGTCCATTCACAAAACTAACATTGGTCAATGTCTTTTTTTTATTCTATAATTATTAGGCGAATTTTCGAATATAACATTGGGTATTTTTTTGTATTTAGATCAATTTAAAAATTTGAAAACATACAATGCACAAATCCCACAGGAAGATGTAAAGGCAGGTGCAGTACTTAAGGATCAGGTAACTTGTGCATTATGCAACTGTAACGAAACATTCAAAAATTAAGTTTTCATTATTTCAGGTGCATTTAGGAAGGGGTGTATACATAAGCAAAGCCTGCTATAACGATGCCTGGTTCAGGAGTACTTCCGGCAGTCATTTCGTTAAAACCATCGCGTTGTACGTTTTCGGTTCACAAACGCTCATGAATTCTTCCGTAACGGGAAAGTCGAGCAATAATCACAAAAAAGCTCAACAGAAACCTGCCCTTGACTCCACAAAACTGTCTGCAATTGAAGGTAATTTTTTTTTTTTTTTTCAAATATCTTTCTTTAATTCTGTTTATTTGATGATTATTGGGATCTTGAAAATGGTAAGAGATCAATATTATGGTTAAATCAGGGCAACATTATTGCGCAACCACGATTTTCAAATAAACATGAATTTTTATTATGCATGCATTTTTTAGATATCTACAGATACTACCTTTCTGAAAAGCATCCAGATAAGAACGTGCCAGCCGAAATAAAACTAATAAAAACCTATATCGCTAATAAGATAAGTGACCTCAACAGGACAACTCTTCGCCAGAAAAAAAAAGGAACAAATAATACAGGATCAGGTATGTAAAATGTGAAAATATTGCAGTTATGTAATTATTATTTTTTAATAGATGATGAAGAAACGCGATCAGTTGATCATGGAGAAAGAAATGAGACAGAGGAGCAAGAGAATGACATAGATACAGATAAAAGCAGGGAAGAAGGAGTATCTGATAATTCTGATTAAAATGTAAGTCTTGGGAAAAATCACCATAGCGTTTTTTTGTCTTTTTCTGACCTCTGAAGGTTCCTCAAGAAATACTTTTTTTATATGTTTTTAAATTTTCAAAGCTCTCATAAAAGAAAAATCAGTTCTACTGCTACCTGTATACATACTGACCTACATTTTTCTTCTGTTTCAGGTAAACTACTTATTTATATGAAATAAAGATAAATAATTCATTGAAGTTTTTTTAATACTAAGAAGTAGAATAGTTTGATTACTAACGAAAAAAAGCTCATTAATATTCACCAGGAACAAGGTAAAGACAATTTTCAGTACGTGAAAGCATGCTTTCCACACGCCTCATATGTTTATTTTCCTTCAAGATTTTATTATTGAACTTTCGATTTTGGCTATACAAAAAATTACGTTTTTTTCACGATTTTATGACTCCCCATAAAAACTCATAAAAAAATTGTAAACCCACATAATAATAGCCGGTCAAAACAACATACAAAATCAATAGGAAACTATAAAAAAAAGTATCTGAAATCTATAGTTTTCTATAGTGTTTCATAATGATTACCATAACAACTCATAGAAGTTCATGAGTCCTTATTAAAAGTTACATCTTAAAACACCCACTGTTACATGGAAAGCACAGAACATCACTGTCCCTTTAGTAACTGTTCTTCTCATCGTAGAAGAATCAGCCATTAGATGCCAAATAAATTTCAGCAAAGTATAAACACCTCAAATGGAAGCACAACTCAGCGCTTCTGATACCCAAGAAGAATCTACAAATAGTGCAGACGATGTCTTAGGCCCTGACTGGCTTGGAATATGTGGACCATACATGAACTTTTTAACAGGGTTCTCGTTAAGATTGAGGGAGTTAAGATTGGGACATGCCGAATTTCCAACAGCAAAAATGGCAAATGGATTTCCCACTTCATTTCCCGTGGAGAAATTCGGCCTAAATAAGGCACACCACATTCTTCTAGAAGGCATAAGATTCCCACCAGAAAGAAGGTCTTCTTTGGTACAAACACTAGGGCCTATGACAAACCTCCTCTGTAACCTTACTGTTCCCAATTATGAAGACAAATTCGCCAATGCCACAAAAATTAGCCTTGGACATAAACCTAATATAGACACCATAATGAAGACTACCAAAGGATGTAACGGTCTGAATGTGATTGTATTACATATTGCTATTTTTTTAGAGAGTAAATGTTGAATTAGATTAGTTGAAACAAATTTCGTTCAGCGAAATATTTTCAAATTAGGTTTATATCTAAAATTAGTTATAAATTAAATATACTGGTACACTATTTTAAATTTAGATACCCGAATGATGGGTTCTCCCCACTCACATATTTGCGTTCTTTGGTTCCTCGTCTATCTAGACACTGAATTTTAAAGGTCAGAACCACGCCAACTAGTGTTCAATGCATAAGCTCGTCGATGATATAAAACGCATTTTGAGTTTCATAAAATCCTGGTGATTTTTGCGTTCCTTGGAGAAGGGATTTCTCATCTTCGGCATCCTAGAGTGATTTTGGTGATTTTGGCATTAAGGCTATTTTTCACTCTAACGACAAATTGTCGGATTCAAAGCATTCGTCCACGTTCACGATAGTCGAAAATCTTGACGCCATTTTGTGGTCTGATAATCCCTCTACATATTCGGGGAGGTTTTCCATCTTCAACCCCCAGAAAGCTGATCATCGTGGCTTCAAAACCACACCCTGCAGTGTGTAAGTAAATTCAGATTTATTAGGGATTTTTGAAGGAATTAAATTAATGAATAGGGACCGATTTTATTGAATGGGTATTGCCTTAGTTAAAAATGCATCAATCGAATTTTATAAATTATTTCAAAGTACCTATTCGCCTAGGGATATATTTTTTTTAGAAGTAAATATTACGTAATGTTGATTTACATAAATTATTTTAAATTCAGTGGGCATTTTATTAATATTTTGGGGCTATCCTAGAATTTTTATAGTCAAAGTTGGAACTAATGCCATATTGGTATTGCCTTTTAGGGTTTTTTTGGTGAGGGATTTACCGAGTGGTTCATCTTTCTGAGAGCCATCTTCTCAACCCCTGCCATTAGGGAGTGATTGATGTCGGGATTGTCTAGTGAGCAAAACCATCCCCAGACAGGACCATTCGGCCCCTTATTGTTGTTTGGGCCTGTCGAGACTCCAGGGCCGGAACTCTGTAACGGATAGCGATCAATATCTCTATCTCTAGTGGCGTCCCCTCTCTATTGATTTCGATAAGAGAGAAGAAGACAGCAAGTGCCATAGCGATAGGGATAAGGATCTCTATCCGTTACAGAGTTCCAGCCCAGGCTGCTCAGATAAGCCCTTAGTTAACTATTCATTTTTCCTTATTTTTGAAATTGATTGCGAGGTTCACGTAAGTCATTATATAACCACACATTTTTCTTATTGTTGAAATTTATTCGTCTATTCAGATAAGTCATTTTATACCTATATTTTTTCTTATTATTGAAATTTATTTGACTGCTCAGATAAACATTATAGAACTATACATTTTCCTATTATTGGAATGGAAAGGAATGTAAAATAATATATTGAGGACGTCTGAGTTTAGGACCTTCTTGTAAGGCCTCTGTGATCACAAAGGTTAACGTGCGCAATCTCATAAAAGCCAAGAAAGAGAGAAATAAACTGTCTAGTAAAGGATGAACTTATTTACCATTTGACTATAAGGGGTCTTGCGCCTAAACCTACAGATATAGTTAATCAAATGCGAAAGAATCTACGTTCGGCTTTGAAGTTGGAAAGGATTGCCGGAAATTTAAGCTATCCAGCGGATCCTTATGACTTTGATACAAACTCAGATGCGATCAAAGTTACGCATAATGAAGTGGAAACCTTGTTAGTGAATTTCGTGGGTGGCTCAGACTCTCCAGAATTTTTGAAAATCTCAACAAAAATTTGGCATGGCTATGAAAGAACAGATAGAATGACAGCCACAGATGATTCTCAGAAGAAAACACGCTCAGAATATTTGGTCAAGTTTATGAACTTTCATTCCACATTGAACAGTAAAGCTAGAAAATTTAAAAGACTCTCCCAAACATATGCTCCTTTGGACTTAGCTAATATTTTAAGTTCAACCACAATTGGAGGTAGCGATGATGAAACTACTAGTTCATCTTCCGATGAAGAAAATAGTAATGCCGCAGTAACTCAAACCACGCAAGTGCCAGTGGTTCAGAACATTCAATCAAAACCAAAATCGGTACCATGCTATCAGTGGAATCTTAAATACGATGGTTCATCGATGTCCTTGAGTGCCTTTTTGGAGAACGTCGAGGAGTTGTGCATTTCTCGCAATATTACAAAGGTACAGTTATGCGCTTCAGCAAGCGATTTACTTACTGGAAAAGCCAAGACTTGGTATAGTTCTGCCAAGGATAACCTTCACTCATGGGACGATATAGTTGATGGGCTACGAAGACATTTTTTGCCAAAAAATTTCAATGACAAATTGTTTCAAGAAATTAAACAAAGAACTCAAGGCCCCAATGAGCCTATGGGAATTTACATAGCCAATATGAAGACCATGTTTAGACGATTGACTTGCCCTATTGCTGACAGTATAAAACTTAAAATTTTGTTACAAAATATTACTCCTTTTTATCAGAGTCAACTGGGATTAACTCCGGTAAATTCAATTAATGAACTTGAAGATTTGGGTCAACGTCTGGAGGAGAGAAAGGAGTCGATCGAAGCCTATGTTCCCCCACCCCGTAAAGGGAAATTTTTGGAACCAGATTTATGCTACATTTATGAAGATCCTCAACCTTCCCCATCATCTAACGTTACCCTAATTAATGAACGTCATAGTGGTGTTCTATTAGCAGAGATATCCTGCTATAATTGTAGAAAGACAGGACACCGAGCTATGCAATGTAAAGAACCAAGGACAAAATATTGTTATAGATGCGGTGAAGCCAATCAAACTTTGAGGACGTGCCCCAACTGTACTAACAATTCGGGAAACTCTCAAAGACGGCACTAAATGACCGGATAGTGAAATCCCCGTCAACAGTCACAGGAAATTCACCGACCATTTCTCTAAGGCAACAAGTAATTCTGGATTATATTCTAGCACACACTGAAGGTGATGAACGCCCCTACCTCAATGTTAAAGTCTCAGGTATAAGCCTATGTGGACTCTTGGATAGTGGAGCTAGTTCAACAATTCTAGGAGGACCTGGTTGGTCTATTTTAAGCTCACTAGGACTGCCTCTGGATTCGTCAAACAAAACAACTTGTACCGTAGCTAACGGTGAAAAATGCGAAAGTATAGGGTCTGCTTTGGTACCTTTCGAGCTGGAGGGTCAAACTAAATCAATACCAGTGCTAGTAATACCGTCATTGCCTCACACTTTAATTCTGGGAGCGAATTTCTGGAAACGAATGGGCATAGTCCCAGATTTAAGGCACGATAGCTGGAAATTTTCGAAGGTGGAACTGTTAAAATAAGGCTTACTGTTTCAAATGTGAATTTAAAAACCTGCCTGTTTTTCAGCAAAGAATAAACGATTCGAAAACCTAAAATAATGCATTTCTTTATGTACCTATTTTCATCAAACCGACCCAAAAGGTCATAAAGATTCCAGCCAGGTAGATTACAGTGAACTTGCTGACAAAATATTGATTTTATGGAGGGTTGAGAATTTTCAATAAGCAACCCGAGGGTCGAGGCAGACATGGTACCTGGCGGAGGCGCCCGCATAAGGAAGGGACAGTACATTGTGAGATTTCGATCTATTCTGATCTACCGCTCTCCGTCAGTTGATTTGCTTACGCTAGTGTATTTTTTCCTGAGCTAAAGTAGCTCATCTTGGTGTTAAAACAAACAATTGCAGCCCTCGTTCGACTGTCAGGTTTTAAAACTCTCTAATCGTGCTTGTGTGGTAAAGTGATTTACGGTGTAACTACGAGTCCCATCAAGCCTTCATCAAATATATAGAA